TTCGGTGAGTGATGTTGCGGCACATGCGAGCAAGAACGGTGGAAGTATGAAGTCGCAGATAACTTGCCCGCTTGGCCAATGCATTGGGCAAGTAGCCAAAGTGGTGAGGCGGGCTAGGCATCTTCCTGCATACTCTCGTTTAAGGTTCACACAAGTGTTGCGGAGAGACTCTCTTTGTTCTCGATGTTCGTGCTTCCTTCCTCGTAGTACTCTTAATCTACGAGATCGAAACGCGGTAGCTGTCAGTGAACATTTCATACAGATGGACACGCTCGTGTGTTTAGCAGCTTGTCTGCGGTATGAGTCAGCAGGATACTAGCATCTTGTTCTATATGTAACATCGTGTAAAGCAGCACTGTGTTTCGTGTGTGTATATATATATGTATATACATAGATGCACATATAGTATGTGTATACACGTACATACTGGCAGAACCCTACATTTCGAGCCCAAGAGAACGCAGTCGGGTCACACGTTCCCAGGCCTGCAAGCCTGTAGAACCCATCACATGCCCTTCATAGACAACAAGTAGACCGCTTCATGCAAGCCCAGAGAAGTTTTCTACACCAGCCAGGCCAGCCACTTTGGACCAGAAGCTGCTGGCAGCCAGGCAGCTTTGCGACCCGGCGTCCGTTTTGGGACTTAAGGATTGCAAGAACTGTACTGTACGAGCAACTACAAGAAAGAGATAAGCACTGATACTTGCAAGATCTTGCAAGAGCAGCCGCACAGGATCCGATAGTTCGTAGCAGCAGCATCAGGTTAGTTCTGCAGCGTACCATCTCGCGCATGCCTGCTGATTTCTTGAAATGTCCTTCCTGCATCACTTCATGGTCGTTCTCGGCAAAAGGGATACCATCATCTTCACCCTGTCATACGAGCTGAGTAAACGCCAGAGTAACCTGACAGTCACGGCATGTAGTGCTCCTGCAGTAAGTAGGCAATATTGTCATGGAGGGGATCAAACCTGGGTTAGTTGGGACAGACGTAAAAAGGAGACCGACTGGCATGCACTTCATGTGCCCTTCTCTAGAATTTAGACAGGACCTCCATGCTTGCATATGTTTGCTGTCCGCAGATGACTCCCTGCATGTTAACAAATAGTGAGAAGCTTCGGCGCTCAGGTTAGCCAATGCATCTCTCGTGGCTGGCCTCCATCCAGATGAGGCCGCCGGGGTTTGGAGGAAGCTGCGTTCTGGATTCTGGAGTATAGCACATGTAAACAGTTGCCAATACATGCTACCAGACATCGCAAGCCCACAGCTCTGTTCCAGCAGAAGCTGGTAGAAGCCTTCTTCCTCAACTTTGCGCGGTTCCGTCAACCGCGCTTCCTTCTACCCTGTTCGCCGCGTCCCTCAACCCAGATAGTGCGGATTCAGTCAACCCGCATCGCCCGCTTCCATCAACGCAGTGCTGATTCCGTCAACTCCGCCCCACCGCTTCCGTCAACGCTACAGTGTTGTGGGGTAGCACGCGTGTCCATAGTTGGAGCGACTCTTTGTGTATATATGGGTTGAACGAAGCAGTTGTTGGGGTTGACGAAGCAGTTGTTGGGGTTGACGAAGCAGTTGTTTGGGTTGAAGGAATCACTGCCGGGGCCATGGTTGAGTGAATCCGCGTGCCGGGGTTGAGAGAAGCAGGTTTTAGGGTGGAATGCATCCGCGTTCTCGGGTTGACAGAATCCGCGGGCACTGGTTGAATGAATAGTTGGCGAAAAGTTGAAGGAATCCGCGCGCGACCAGCAGAAGCTTGAATTTGTGTCCGACCTCTCAAACCTTAAGCCCTACAGTTTTGACTTAACGCCCATGTGTGCAAATCCGAAAACCCGGAAGCCCCGGAGCCCTACGACCCGGAACCCCTACAACCCAGGCCGTAGCTTACTACGTCCTCAAGCCTATTGCGACCCTAGAGGCCCTAGAGCCGCAGAGCTTTGAATCCCTAACACCCTGAAAACCCCAAAGCCCGCACCTTAAAACCCCGAGCCGTCCAGCCTGAAGCACGCTGATTAACCCCTTCTCAAATGGCTGTGAAGCCATGTCTTTGAAAACCCCGAACGCCCTATACCCCAAGCCCTAAACCACTAAAGCTCGAAACCCTCTACAAACCCGAAACCCTGAAATGCCTCCCCAGGCCACCGAGGCCATCGTTGACTTGGCTTTGGGTGCCGGACGCCGCTTTGCAGTGGCCCTGCAGCTGCAGCGAGGTTTCGGGATTTTCCTTCCGGTGCTTCTAGGGCTGAGGGGTGAGATATGGGCTGTTTGGTTTTAGGGGACATATGTGCGCCTTGGGGTGAGCCGACAAATCTCTATCCGTCCAGGAGTTGAGTCCGAGTTCGTTTGCGATTCGTAAGCCTGTAGGCAGCAGGCGAGGAGGCCAGCCTCAAGTTGCCAGGACTTGGGCGCACAAAGCGTTCGAGTCTTGAAGAGTTCTACTCTTCCATCCAATATGCAGGCTTCTTTTGGCCTTCGGGTTCGAGATCCAACTCGCAGGATTGCTGAACATCCATGAAGGCTTACTCTGAACCTGATCCTACTATATAAGTAATATTCGTAATTATTGTAGTAATAACAATGATAGTAGTAGTAATACTAATAGTAATAAGAATACCAAAAAAGCCCAGGTGCCTTGTTGCGTCTTCGCAGAGAAGTTTCCGTCACGTGAGCTCGCACCAGGTGCCCGCTGCCCCGCCCTGAAGCCTGAGGCTCCTTCAGTGCAGGTCCAAAACCCTAAACCCTGGACCAAACTGAGCAGCAGGCCGTTTGTTGCCTGAGGAGTTAGTATGGTTGCCTCTGGCCCCTTGTTTTCTTGGTTGCCGTCTTCCTTTCTTCAGGCGTGCCAGTCCGGACATTGAACCAGTTCTGCGCTTATCTTTGTGCCAAAGACCCTCGCATAAAAGTGTCTCGGCTGATCAAACTCAACTCCTTTCCTGAAGCAACTGTCTTGAAGAGTCTGGTGCGCATGTTAAGAGCAGGGGCCCAGAGGTGCCTTGTGTAGGGATGCTGTTCATGAACATCCTACAATCTTGGAATCTTGTTAAGAGTCCCCTACCTTCTGAACCCCCACATCGAAGGAAGCGCTTCTGGACTTTGAGGGCCGAAACAAGGTTCTGTACATACTGTGACAGGTGCGTATCTGCCTTCGTGGATGCCAGCTGATAGGCAGCTAAGCATAGATGGCAGGGATGTAGGATTATGCAGGAAGGCCTAGGTTAGCTAAGTACATAGATACGTCAAGAACGAATGGGTCAAGATCGAATAGGCGAGACAGGTTTTTGGAATTGCGTACATATGGTCTCCAAGCATTCAGCTCGGCAGATTGCAGTGTACATAGTTGTACATAGCCAGGCCCGACATCAGACGGCTTGCGCGGTCACATTTCTTTCCGGGCTGTTCGAGCTGCAGCTCTCAGGACTCCGGCAGGATTTCAAGGCCGTAGGGCTGGACTAGTTCGGTTTCGACGCCGGGACTGCAGAGACGAGAGGCTTGCATGCCCTTCGGACCCCCCGAACTATGGGGGCCCGAAGTGTTTAGCAGCTCTGGGATGGCGAGACGCTGTCGACCGGATCCCACTGATGCAAAATGTCAAGAAGCGACAGAGGAAGCTGCACATGATAGACATTACGCACATGTTGAATGCAGTCTACATTCTATCTAAGCTTTCAGAACTGGAGTGAACAAGCGAGGCTACATGTTATCGACGGCGAATTTGCGATTCATATTTTGCAGTTTGTGGTAGCAGCCTGAGCAGCATTGCTTGCTCCCAGTCCTGCCCTGTTTCTATCATAGCTGCGCATCGACGATTACAACCACTATCATTCATGATATCAGAAGCATATCTCGCAGCAAAACAAAATTGCAGCAGTCGAGATGATATAGGTGATGGTGCTGACCGGTGGTTTTGTTGGTGGTGACGATCATGATGATGATGATGATGATGGTTTGGACAATGACAAAGGTCAAATCATGTGATTATTTCATTCATCCGGCAGTGTATGCAATGCTTCATGTTTTCTTATTGGCAGGAATGTTAGTCCGGAGCCCTGTGCTTCTCGCAGGTTCTTGGGCGGACCTCTTACCCCCCGAGTTGGACTTGCGAGTGCACCAGTTTCGGGCGCACCTTCTAGTAAGCTAAGCCCTGACCCTGATCCGAAACTGTGCGCCACAAAACCCGAAAGACGTGAGCCTCCCCAAACCTCCAAAATACCAGAACCTCCAAACCTCTAAAAGTCTTGAAGAGCCACGGAAAGCCCTATAGAAGCCCTTCAAGCCCTAACCCCCAAAGCCCCGCGCCCTCTCAGGGGCTATTTCAACGAGTTGAGCTCGGAGGAGCCCTTTACAGGGGCTTCTGAAGAAATGAAAGGGGGCGTGTGTTGGGGCTTCTGGAAGTTTTCGGGTTTTCGAGGTTTTGGCATTTTGGATTTGTTCGTTTTTTTGGTGGAGGGGGGGTGTTCATTGTTTTAGGCGTTTTGGCGTTTTGTTTTTCGGTTCTAGAGGAAATTATGAAACCACCAGGGTCGCATGCAACATGCATGGGCAAGTTTCACCTCGGGGCTTAGTTTCCTGGGTTTAGGGCTACGGCTTCATGTCTTTTGGGGTGTCGGAGTGGAACTTCTTAAAGTCTTTGGGTCCGAGCCTTGGGACGTGGGGAGATTCGACCGTGAGGTCTTGAAGATCAGGTCAGGGCCCTCGGTTCCGAATCCGTGTGGCTCCATCTGTCGGGTTGCTGAGCCCTGAGCTCAAGGCCACCTTCATGCGAAGATGTGCACTTCTTGCATTGGCCTCGCTATACTACACTGCTTCTTTTCTATCAACACAGCACGTACATGACGATGTGCTTTGGCCTGGTGAGGTACTGGCAGATTCCAAAGTTCTATCCCTTCTTTAGGTCTTCTATGCTACATGCCCATGGCACACCGCCTGCTTATTGCCATACCTAAACCCTAAACCCTAAACCCTAAACCCTAAACCGAGGGCTAAGAGGCACCTCGTCACTGCACCGCATGGCCCTTGCGCAGGATCCGAATCGGATCTTCCTTGCTCGCCGCATCAACAAGCTCGGCTTTAGGGCCCAGGAGGCTCAGCCAGGGAGCCTTCACTTCGGTGTTATAACATATGGTATATAGTATATAGTATAAAGAATATAGTATAGGGTATATAGTATATACCACATATTTCATATCACCTATGGCTGTCGGCCTGTCCTGTGGCTCCTTGAGCGTCGCACTGGCTGCCTTCGGCTCCAGTGTCAGAGTCAGTGCAGATGAAGGTCGAGTCAGACTTCGAGATCTCTCTTGCCTAGAACAAGAACTCTTTGGACCCATCTAAACCTGGGCTGATTCGCCCAGAAAAACTTGGACCTGTAGACCCATCTCACTTCCGATTCCGCTCACAGGAGCTGTGGCTACACTACTCGAAGTACGGCCCGGTGGAAAAGGTCCTGGTGGCAAACGCCAAGGCATAGCTCAACTCTGCAATGCTCTGTCACTGCAGTCGTCTTCGTGGCAAGCAGAGGATTTAGAGTTCAAGGTTTCAGGGTGAAGGGAGGAAGCCAAGTTCACCCCAAGCCCAATTCACGAACGGGGTTTGAGTAAGTTGCGGCTTTGGATTGCATGCGAGGCGCGCAACAGCCGACTGCACCCTCAGCAACTGGACATCTGTTCAGAGGGTTTTTGCTTGGGGATTAGTATTTTGTTCCTTTACAAGGTTCGATGCTTCATATCAATTCGACAACTTCGGCTAGCCAATTTGTCGTAGCTGGGGTGAAGCCTGATATCCCCGCGGCTACAGAATAAAGGCCGAACTGAAGATTTTGGTTGATCCACCTTTTGTGCTCCTTGCTTAGACAAGCACCGCCACTTTCTTCCAATCCTGCAAGAACTGAGGGGAAAGCTTCGCCCGGGTAGTCTTGCAATCGTGGTCCGGGCCTTGGAGTCGGGCGTATATGACTCAGCGCAGGTTACCTTGCGATGGAAATGCCGGGTGGGATAGTCGTACATGGCATGACCCTATACTTACAGCAGTCTATTAACCGTTTTTGGATACAATTCTTCGCCGCGTCTGTCATGCTACTTGTGTGTCATGTTGTGCAGTGTGCTGCTCTGCTATCGCAAGGTATTCGCATGTGTTCAGCTGCAAGTGCATAATGCACCTTACCGTCTGTACTTCAGCGCATCTTGGACGGACAACTTTGATCTTTTGAGCCATGTGTTGCGCCAACTGGAAGGTGCCGTTACAGCTTCAATGTCACTCGACCCATGGTGCATAGCATGCAGGCCTCCAGACCCAGCACACATGATGTCTGAGCTTGTGCTCCAAGCTGGTCCTCCAGTCTGCGAAGGCTAGCTCTGCACGAGATGATGTCCCCAGGTCATGGAGACTCCTGCCACTGTGAAGGAAATCATGGCTCTGGGCGAGGCATGGGCACAGACATGGCTCTGTGTGAAATTGTGCACTTCGCTGTTGGGCATTGGCTTCTATGGATGATGCCACTGTTCTGCAGCTCCGCCCCACAATAGAGCACTCGCACTGTAGCAGCAGTTCTTCCGACCATCATCGTCCTTGTTCCAGGGATGAACAGCTGGAATGTTCGTAGGTCACTTCTGGTTTTGATAATGTTGACGGCCTCTCCTTTGCCATGATCAAGCAAGCTCGTTGGAGCGACTGCGCGCGTTTGACTTCCCTGACAACTCTACATCCATTTCTTGACAACTTACATCCATTTCGGCTGTGTGGGGTCCTTTTCAGGGTGTCCAGGCGACAAACATTTGTAGAACCTCATGCAACCTCGGCAGCCATTGAAAAAGCAACCCTGCTGGAACGAGCTACGACACAAGGTGTTAAATCTGGATTCTGGCAGGCCGAAAGCGTAACCGACTTTCCAACATGTTTTTATTTGAGCCACCGTGCCATGGTGTGCAGGGTGTAGGAGAACACGGAAGCAAGCACACATACCCGGCTTCATAGGACCTGGAATTCTTGCTGCCCATGTGCTGTGCAGGAGCAGCTCGTCGGCGGTCAAGTGATCAAGCTTCAAAAGTTTGAACCCACAGCCCCCAAGGTGCAAGGGCGGGTCAGGAGACGTAACTCCGGTAGTGAAATGCAGCGGTTTGGCATTCACGGCTTCTCAGACAGGGCATTGGGGGCTGGAGACGTGAAGATGTCGGAATAGGCTAAGCATCGGATCGGGCCCAGGCTATCTTGCGAAGGTCTTGAATCCAGCGTTCGAAGGGTCATCTTAGCAGCACGTTTGCCGACAGGGACCTCCGAGACGACAGGGAACCACGGGTTTTGAATAGAGTAGTGAGTCTACATGCGCTCGCCTTGGCTCTCATTGGGTTTGCACGGCATTTGATGTTTTTGGGGGGGTCCTTGCACACATGAATGAAACGCCTTTTACCTTTCAGACATTGCTGGTTACCGACTTAACATCGGAATACAAGACCCGCCATGATGGCATCGCACGACTACTACTTCCGACCTAACTCAATCATTGTAGAAGGTGCACTCGAGCCTGCACCCAGAAGTCCATCCTCGTCCGATCAATGGTCCCCAGAGACTCCAAAACACCTTCGGTGAGAATTTTAAAACATGTGGGGGGCGGGCAACCCAAGATCCAAACAGAGGTAGTATGAGACACCTGTTTTAATCCGTATGTTTTAGCTCCGGGTGTTAACTTCCAGCCCTCCAGCCTTCCAGCCTGCCAACCCTCCAGCCTTCCAGCCTTCCAGCCCTCCAGCCTTCCAGCCTTCCAGCCCTCCAGCCTTCCAGCCCTCCAGCCTTCCAACCCTCCAGCCTTCCAGCCTTCCAGCCGTCCAGCCTTCCAACCTTCCAGCCTTCCAGCCTTCCAGCCTTCCAGCCTTCCAGCCTTCCAGCCTTCCAGCCCTCCAGCCTTCCAGCCTTCCAGCCTTCCAGCTTTCCAGCCTTCCAGCCTTCCAGCCTTCCAGGCTCCCCAATCTTCCAGCCTTCCAGCCCTCCTGCCTTCCAGCCTTCCAGCCCTCCAGCCCTCCAGCCTTCCAGCCTTCCAGCCTTCTAGCCTTCCAGCCTTCCAGCCTTCCAGCCTTCCAGCCTTCCAGCCTTCCAGCCTTCCAGCCTTCCAGCCTTCCAGCCTTCCAGCCTTCCAGCCCTCCAGCCCTCCAGCCTTCCAGCCTTCCAGCCTTCCAGCCGTCCAGCCCTCCAGCCTTCCAGCCTTCCAGCCTTCCAGCCTTCCAGCCTTCCAGGCTTCCAGCCTTCAGCCCTCCGGCCTTCCAGCCTTCCAGCCCTCCAGCCTTCCAGCCTTCCAGCCCGTCATTCTCAGGCATATTTTGCAAGGTACGGGGCACTTGCGCAGTGTGGCGCTGCGAATGAAGTGGAGGCGGATGGCTGGAGGGGCTGGAAGGCTGGATGGCTGGAGGGTTGGAAGTCTAGAAGGTTGGAAGGTTGGAAGGCTGGCGGGGCTGGAAGGCTGGATGGGGGCGCTGGAAGGGTGGAAGGCTGGAAGGCTGGAGGGGCTGCAAGCTGGAAGGCTGCTGGAAGGCTGGAAGGTTGGAAGGCTGGCTGGATGGCAGGAGGGGTTGGAAGGCTGGAGGGCTGAAGGGCTGGGAAGAGGGCTGGAGAGGCGAAGGTTGGAGGACGGAGTCTGCGGGCTGGAGTCTCGTGTTGTTGTCTTTCCGTGTGTTTTAAAATTGGGCGGCCCAGAGACAATGCCCACGGAAGTAGTATGACACACCTGTTTAACTTGTTTAGATGTCCGGGTATTTAAAAATCATCGCCGTTAATTAAGGAATATACCTTAAATTAAAGTAGGATCCCTAATATGATTTAAGGAATATTCCATAATTAAGGGATATTGGAGTCTCTGGGTCTGGCAGTGTCCCATTGCTGGGTCGATCTGTCCAGTTGTCATTCAACAGAAGGTTTCAAACAAATCCATCTGGGTAGTTGTCAAAATCAGGGCCCCTTTTTGGGTACCCTAAATAATAGGTGCCGTATTATAATAGGGACCCAAAACGGGACCCTAATTTTCAAATCCATCTGTCCTGCCAGGGAAGATCTGGAGGAATGAAGCGTCCGGTCCCCGGCACCACCCAGAAGCTTTCTCTTCAGGGTGTGCCAGCAAAATGCTCGGCAGAAGAGACTCCATGGATCATACCGGGTTATGATGATGATGGTTGTTATTATTGCCGTTCATATTATGTCAAGTATTTCTTGTATTAGTATTATTTTGAATACTCGTTAGTATCATTATGATAATGCTATTCGCGCGATACTAACTAACTCCATCATTGCTGCTCTTATTGTTATTGTTATTGTTATTGTTGTGGTTAATAAGTCGTTATTGTTTCAAACATTTGTTCTCATTGTCATCCTTATCGTTATCATTATCCTTCTTCTTCTTCTTCTTCTTATTACCAGTCATGCCTCTGCGTGTGCGTATGGTTATTCTTATTCGCTTTCGTGTGTGTCAGGAGGAGACTTCAATAAGGCAGCGAGATGATGAAGCCATCAGAGGCTTCTGACGTGAACCCATGGTTGAAGTAGTCGTGGAGGCAGTCTGGATTCAAGTATGTAGAGTTCTGACACTGTATAGTATTGTCGCTAGTATACATATTGTTATTACCATGATTCTTATATATTCTTAGTGTTGTTGTTATTACTGTTTGTGTTATTATCCAAAGAAATGGCCATGTCAGCTCTCTGAACTCCCGCAAAGCCTATTGCATACCCTGCCAAGACCACATGGAGATGTCCACATCACCGGCGCCGGCAGATCCACAAGGGCCCTCCCCGCCTGCTTAACAAAGAGCACTTCATATGTAATGAACTGGGTGCTAGTCTTGATATTATTTATTCATTTCAAAAACAAAATAGAGCGGACTTCGAAATCTCGGGTCCGGACGTAGAATTGAGAGGTCCGGTGGGCTGTCAGTCACGGCAACAACCGAAGCCATTGGAGGTTTGCAGTCGACATTCTCAGAAGTTAGCAGCACTTCGACGCACCACCGGCCCTCAATAGCATTAAACAGAGTGTTTCCACTTCTGGAGTTCCTGTAGCATGGCAGCCAATCGAGCCAACATAATTCGTGAGGCTTTTGCCGCAGAAGCATGTAAGTTTTAGCTTAAGATGTAGCGACGCCGTTTTCACTAAGCAGAAGATCCTAGTCGCTTCGGCTCTAGACACTCTAGATTTCAGTAGACTGCGGACCACCAAGAGGACACATCAAGTAGTTCGGAGCGCGCAGAGTGTTACCTGCAGAAACGTTCCAGTTGAACTCAACAAATGTTCTTCCGCTGGTTGCTGGGGAGGTAGAGAGAAAGAGAGAGAGAGAGAGAGAGATCGGAGGGCGACAACCCCTTCGCCATAGCCCTGGCGAAAGAAAGAGATCAGAAAAAGAAGAGAGACGGAGAAAGCGAACTCATATTGCGCATTGTCACGGACAGAGGATGCGATGTCCATCAAGACAGAACAACATGCAATGTAGGCCGCACAAGTCCGTGCGAGTCCCGAATTTCTTGCGCCGGCCTCGAGCATCAGGAAACACGATTTCACACTGACCACTGCTCGGGTGTCCATCAAAGCCTCAGCCAGGTCATCCTTCAGTGGCAGTGGTGGCAGTGGACCCGAGACCAAGGGAAAGCAAGAGGACGGTCGGTGAGAGTTTAGGGTTTGGAATAGAATCTACCTGTCTCCTTAACTTTTCGAACCTGCTCTAGGTATCGTAATGCGTAATAACCAGTGCTACAACGGATGCACCGGCGCAAGAAACGAAGATATAGAAGTATGAAGTAAGCCCCTGGCATTTTATAGAACCTTCATCATGAACCCTCAACCCTAAACTTAAACACATAAGTCAAACGGCGTTAGAATATACTATCTACTCTACTATACAATATATGATATATGGTATATTGTATACTATATGTTGTATAGTGCCTATACTGCATTCTAATACTTCATAGCCAGTGATATTCAAATATACTGTATTATAGTATAATAGTGTATTATATTATGTGGTTTTTTGTTCCATACGATATCATATAATGTGCAGGACGGGAGTTCTGGGTCTTACGACCTCGAGGGAGAGGGCTCCAGCCGCTGCCCCGGTTTTCCTGGATTTTCTCCAGGGGCTGGAGAGCTGTCAGGCTGTGGATTTAGTGTTTAGGGTTTTGGGTTCAGGGTCGTCCGAGGGTTTAGGGTTGGTCTTTTTCTGCGGTTTCGGGCAAAGAGAATAGACCTGACAGACCGAGAACAGCAAGTCTATCGCTTGAGGCCAGTCATGAAGCGCTCTTTTGCAAGTATGCTGGGCAAGGCATCCAGGCAGACACCATTCGACCGACACTTTCATACCCTGCTTCTCAGAGCCCAGAACAAACAAACCCTCAAGCTCGAACTCAACCTTTGCCGACGCCTGGACGCCTATGTCCGAAGCACAAGCACAACACCTGTTCCAGCAAAGCTGGAATAGCTAGTGCAGCCAAACTTGTTGTGGTGACTGGCGTGCATATCTACGGCTGCCGAGTCATGAATCAAAACCACCACCACCACCATCACCGACTTCACCATCATCATTATCACCATCATCATCACCATCACCATCTTCTCTTTGCCTTGAATGTTCTGTGCTCATAGTTCCATGATCAGTCCCATGATCGCACTCATTTGTACCACCACCGGCAATCTTCATTCAACGTGAGCCCCGATGCATTCGCCTCGCCAACGGCCTCATCACTACCACCGTTACCATAATGGCAGAGATTGTTGATGCGAGGCCAAGAGGCGCAGGAGTCGCCATCGCGCTCGCAGCAGAGATCCCCAGAGTGCCGTCTTTTCTGCACCTTCTTTGGGATGGGTCCGCTGTGTCTGGTGTTTGGGGAGACAGGCTGCTCTCAGAAGCCTTCTTGGGGCGACTCCGTGCCCAGCCGGCCCACCATTGAGCCATGACGGGCCACGGCTTCTCGTGAGTCTGTGTTCTTGATCCCATGCAGCCCGTGCACATACCTGAAGAAGCCGCGTAGTGCACCCACCCTGAGGCCGCAACCAGTCGTTGTGACTGGCTTCACTTACTCCATGTAGATGTGACGAACAGGGACATTCGAGTGAGCCGAGCACTCAGCTGCGTTTTCATTTTTGAAGGTTTGCTCCTGACTGCTACTGGTCCGTGCACATCCCCTGAAGAGTTCCATTGAATGGCACAGCATAAACCTTTCGAATTCCAGGCCAAGCGATCTCTAGTCGGCAACAGGCTCATTGTGGTCACAACGACATCTTCGGGCTTCAAAGTCTAAACCCCTTGTTGTTTGTGGAACGCGCTCGGCAGCCATCCGCCACAAAAGCAAGACTTTCCTTCACCGAGGTGACATGGCGCGTAATAGTTTCGATCCCTGGATGCAAGTTTGTATCATCGACGGCAGCCGGCGCTGTGGTACTCCTCGGTCTCGTGTCGAAGAGAGAGAAGTTGAGCACCGTGCAATGTCCGGCAGACTAAGGAAAGAACAGCGCTGAGCAGCGAAAATTCAATTACCCAATTTCGAACATTGCCTTGAGGCCGGGCTGTTGTCATTGTTCATGCTTGACTGAGTCTTAAACGGCGGCGCCCGAGAGCACAGTCCATGCCTTCAACCCTAGACTCCTAAACCCGGGAGGCGACGCTGAGGAGCGACCTTCGGGGTGAGGTGTCCTTGCAAATCGACATTTACGCACAGCTCTGGCAGACTGGGCCACTGCTACGTTGGGCACTGAAAGCCGGCAATACGGGTCCAGGGGTTAGGACAATGAAGGAGGCCGTGAAGGAGGCTTGATGATTCTGAATGTCTAGGTGTTAATGACTGTCACCGGGAAGTAGGCAGAAGCTGTAGCGATGGAGACATCGTTCGACTCATTTGTTGGTGGTTCGATACCTCGACCTTTTCCGACACCGCACACATACGCAAGTGTCCGAATACCATCTGAAGCAGTTGTCGTCGCGGTCAGTCGTCGCAGAAGTGGGAGTAGTCGTCGCCGTCGTAGTCGCAGCGGTCTTCGTCGCAGAAGTCGACTTCGTCGTAGTAGTTCGTAGCAGTAGTACTTGCAGCAGTGGCAGCGGCAGTAGCAGTAGCAGGGGGAGTGGGAGGAGGAGTGGTGGTAGCGGTAGTAGGAGCAGCGGCAGCGGCAGCCGGAGCAGGAGCAGCAGGAGGAGGAGGAATGGTCGGTGCCGTGGTGGTGTTGGAGCTGGTGGTGGTGGTGGTGGTGGTAGGAGCAACAGAAGTAGCTAGAAGTTTCTCTTAGAACAGAACAATGCAAACGGCTTCCAGTTCCTGGAGCAGTGAGCCCTTCGAGCCGGGCCAAGTGTTATCCTAGCTGTCGGGTACAAAGATTCGGCAGCAGGAACTCGTGCGGGCCCCGAGAGCACAGGAAGGACTCGGAGTTCCGAGATTAGTAGCATTTTGGTTTTCAGTATCATCATGATATTCGTCCAATTCTTATTGTCATTGTTAGTACCAGGAGAGAAGCATAGGAAGGGTTGCCAGATCGGATGTTAGGAGAACACAAAGACTCAGATAGATATGCGAATGAAGGGGGGAACTCAGGGCCCTCTTTATGATGAGCTCCTGCTGTCCTGCCGCGTACCGGCATCCGCAGATGCGTTCACAGTGCAACGATGAGGGACTTAGGTGTAAAGCTTGGGCCGTAGCTGTCGTCGGCGGTTCATTGTAGATGGCATTGTCCTTTCCGCTGTAGGGAGCACCGCCGATCATTGGACTTCGAAAGCCACAAGAGTAGCCGCAAGCTGCGAGCAGCGGAAGCTTGGGATAGCAGTTCATGTTATTAGAAGATATTTGAAGTCATCCGAATGTTGAAGATATTCCGGGAAGCGTTTCAACACGACCAAGTTAATGCATCGCTGCGGCATGCCTTTGGAACGGAAGACGCGTTCTGATGCAAGTCTTTGGAGACTTCACCACACGGAAGCCATGAATTCGATCCCTGCACGTTGGAGTGCTGGGTTCGATCCGTCATTGTAACGCATGCAGAAACTTATATCTGATGCGTCTCATTGTGTGAAGCCTCGTCAAGCAAGTCTGCTTGATCTATGCTCTAAGTCTACGGTGCGAGTTGCAAGACCGCCTCATCCCCATATCAACCCCTCGCGAGAATGCCAGCTTCCCTGCTCCGTGGTGCCCCAAACAAAGCATGAACTCTCAACCCCTATGCGAACTTTTGCACCGGAACCAGGGAAGCAGAGCGAGGATCATTTACAGAGACCCATTTGATTTGGGCGAGTGGATTCAGGAGGTGCCACCACCTATCTGAATCTGTTGGGCCTTGTGCGAACATGCCTTGTGAGCCTTTACCTTGCATTTTGACATGCATCGCATTGGGAGACTTGGCCGCACTATCAGTCACCATCCCACTCTAAGATGCAGTGCTCGTGTCAAGGGGGCTCGGAATGCAATTAAACCCTATGCCCTCAACCCCTAAAGCGCCAGCGCCAAGGACTACCCTTGTCAGCGGTCAGCGGTGGCAGGTCGAGAGCGTACGAAGAAGCTCGGAGGCAAGCAAGAGCAGCCGAGGCCAACGCTTTAGGCCTTCGAGCTTCTTTGGCGAGTGAGGCTTTACTTCAGGCTGGGCTTACTTCATGTGCAATGAAGTCTTTGCCCCGAAACCGTAGCGTCTCTCAGTCATTGCATGAGACCCGAACACGCAGCACATTCGTCGCAAGGAAGGCGACACTCCCTGCCGCCAGGGGCTCAGAGCTTGTTGCTCCAAGCTTGGAGCAAAGTCTACTGTGGAATTCAGGGACATGTGCTTTTATGCTTTTGTGAGTGAGGTTTGATGCTTAGGTTTCAGGCGAAGCCTGGCTGCGCCATAGTCCCAAACGATCGGCACAGAACATGCTACAGAGCAAAGCCGAAGCAAAGAAGGTTATGACGGCTATGATCCTATGAAGCGGGAGCACAAGCTTTGAACAAGGCCAGCGGTTTTGTTTAAACACGGGTCTGCTTTTGCTACAGCCTCAGCAATTGGCCGAACCCTGGAATAGCCACACTTCTCGTCGTGAATTCCGGCTATGTCAGGTTGCAGCCCTGACTTCTGTTCTTTTGAGACCTTTACGATCTCATCGGCGTCTGCGTCTGGTGAGCCGCCGACAACCATGAACTTATCTGCCATGCAAGGAACCCTAAACCTTTGACTCTAAACCGTAGGACGCAGGGTTTAGATGTCAGGTCACCCAGAAAATCTTCACGTAGACTAACAGCCAGATCTTCGAATGAGCATCATGCAGGAACCCGAGCAAGCGCTTGGATACTTTCGAGTGGCCGTTCATCTCTGTTTTTCAGGTGCCTTGACGATTAGAATAGGGTTTTGGGTGGATCCTGCTAGAAATATAAGTACGAACCCCAAGGCCCTAGTAGGAGAAAAAATATTCTTCAGGCATAGGCATAGTAATCCTTTGGCCCAACACTCCGTGGTCAGAAGATCAGTCTCTGTGTTGCCGGCTGCTTAAGTCAACTTGACTTCGTCGACGTTGAGTCGCTTGGTGCTCCGGGGATCTTCAGGTTTCAATGTGTTTCGAAATGCTTTGCCGGATGTCGGGGGATAGTTTCCCGGTTTTTTTTCCAGGTGACTCGACTGCCAGGCGTGGTCGCAGCTTTGCGTTTCCGTCTTGGCGGTTACACGTAAACGAGCTAGCCTGCATGGACACTTTAAAAGGTGATCTTGAAAAGTGATGCTTCGCAGCAGTTCAGCATCCTGCCAACTGTTCCTATTTGGATCGTGAGGCTCTACGAACAGTAGTTACTTACTCGTGAAGGTTTTCGAATATTACCACGTCGAGTTTAGTTGCAGAGCATAGTCGTTGAACTGCGGGTGAGTATATCATTGTCACAAATGTTCGCGACGCAACATCAACACTAATCAGGTGCAACACAATTTTTTCAGCGATGATTTCGGTTTGAAGCACCGGCACCACTTTGACACTGTCTCCCCCTCCCTCTACTTCTGGTAGCACTACGTATTGACTATTGATGATGTCTGACTTTTGTTTATTCATCCTAAACCCTTAACTCAAAACCCTAAACCCTATAAACCCTAAAACCAAAAATAGCTCAACACCCTAAACCCTAAACCCTAAAACCAAAAATAGCTCAACACCCTAAACCCTAAAACCAAAAATAGCTCAACACCCTAAATCATCGAATCTTGTGCTTCGTAGCCAAGACGGGAAGCTCGGAGGGCCTGGGCCCTGAAACGGGTTTTACGCGCATGACCGAGGCTACGAGTTCTGCTGCTCTGGGGTACTGTAGGGTTTTAGGGCTTAGGGGTATAGTGGCTCCTTCTATACGAAGTATACTATACTAGAGTACTCTACTATACTATACTAGAGTACTAGATGCTCTGGACCCTGCGTATCGTCCTCCGCGTTGTCGTAAACATCTATCAGAACAAGTCGCTGCGAAGCCCTCCTGGCAGAGGGTGGGGTTCTGGTTTGGGTACCACGCATGTCCTGTAAGTACGGTCATGATGTGTAAGTTGGGCGTATGTCCCATACCCGCGCACCCTCGTGCTCCAATTGCCAACCTTGCGCTTGTAATTATTATTCATATATATATATATATATATATATGTATTTTTAATTTTTTTTATTTTTTATATTTATTTATAGTAATATGTATGTTATTACCGAGTCTTGGGGACAGGAACAGTAACCCGAGTCATCAGCTCTGGGATTCTTAAGGCCTTAGCAGCTCTGAGTCTCAAGCCGACCCGAAAAAGCGGCCCTCGTGTATATATCCAACTCCGAGACCTCCCGAAGACGTGCGTGAAGCACAGGGGGCTCATGGAGTTCTGAGGCTTGCCCTGCCTGCACGGAGCACGGGCTTGCAAAAGCACTCCTGGGGTTCAGCACGGTCATGCTCAATCCAGCTCTGGGGGTTTTGGAGCTCAGAGCGGCTGAAGTGATCATGATCATTGAGATGAAACTTACGAAGTGGCTACTGAATCTAGAAGCCAAATCATCCGTAAACGAAGTTTCGGGACTTGGAGTTTCCAGGGGAGAAAGTTTTAGGTTACGGGTTCAAGTGCTCAGTGAAGGTGGAACCTGAAAGTATGGAGTCTAACAAGATAGGACATGTTGTAGCATAGCAATAATATTGTTTGAGGATCACCAGGATGTAGCAGTCTCGTGCTCCGACGACACAGAGTCTTTTCGCTCCTCGCCTACGAGGGCTTGAATGGGCAAAGCTGGGCCTCTCTGCAAAGCTGATATGGGTTCCCAAGTCACACGAAGAAGATTCAGCGATTCAACGACCATTGCACAAACGTGTCTGCCATCAACATTACTTAGGGTTCAGATACCTTATAGAGATTAGCAGTATAAGGGCAAAGGGCCCCTTGCTACTAAGTTTCGAAAAGGGATCTTTCGCAGTATTCGTTGCCGGAGGACCAGGTCGCAGGCTGAGGCTTCTACCTCCCAAATTGCCTCTGGAAAGCTATGATTTAATAATCTTTACAATACAACATGATATCATGTTTGATGTACTCGAATATGATATATACCACAATTCGTCGTAAACGCAGATTTTTTCTCCCAGCTTTTGCTTGTTGTCAGACACTCGTTGAGCTGAGCAGTGATGCCCGCAGCCTGCGAACGAGTCAACAAGCCCTTCATGGGCCATGGATTCTGGACGGAGATGTGGGGGTGATGCCCGCAGCGAGTGCAAGCTCACCTCTATGACATAATGTAGAGCAAAAACAACTTGATGTATAGAAGTATAAGGTAACTTAGCTCTCGTAGAGATGGAGGGTTTAGAGGTTGTCTTCTCTGAAGTCTTCGCAGCCGTGTCCCAAGGATTCCTTGTGGGTGTGTGAAGCCTTAGGCCTTAGTGACCTTTGACAAGCCTGCAGAGTTCCAAACTGGGAACGCCACCCACCCTCTCCACGGCTGCCATCTGATCCGGGCTGAGCGGATAAAGCCAAGAAGGCTTGGATGGGTGTCTGGATGGGTTGAACGTGTCCGTTCCGACGGGCAGTCGTGCATTTCTCCACCCAGGCGTCCCTCCAAGCAGCTTGAGAACAGTCGAGCTTACTTCGGGAGTCTGTCAGAGTCTTAGCGAAGCTCTCACTCACCAAATCTGTCATATCGCAAATTGTACCACGTGGCTCCTCGAGCGAGATCTGTCCGAGTGAAGACTCTTTTGACAAGGCTGCCCAGGTTGCAGGAGGAGCTGACTGCATCGAATGTCGAAGTGCCAGCCAGCGGCCAGGAAGACATCACTGGATATAGCCAGCTCCTCCGACAGCACTCGTTGTGGTCTTTGGCTGTTGGACAATCGGAGTCTAATCGGAGCATCCCCGGGCCAAAACCATCCTTGACTCGACCCTTAAGCACTAAGACAGGGCCGTATTTCGGGGTTCCTGATTTTGTAGTGTAGTCTACCCCAAAACCCTTTTCTGATTATCAAGGCCTCTACATCATGCCCAAACCTTCCACTGCCCACGCCAGAGACCACGGTCCGGCTTCTACGCATGCCTGAGCAGTTGGCAGCGGCAAGCATGAAAGATCTCAGGCAGATTCGGGATGCTTCCCAGTCCGTTTTGGTCTTTCTGTAGTCTGCATTTGGGTTAAGGAATGAGGTGTTAGGGCTTCAGCTTTTGTGGGAATTAGGGTTGAAGTAGACTCGTTGGTGCTGCAGAACTGAGATCATGCTTGTCCTGTGTAATTTTCTGTCCGTTGTGGGCCAGGGCGGGCACAGACCAGTCCTGCTGCAGATGAGGCAACACAGCATACCACAGTTTTCCCATGGTAGCTAGTTAACTGCCAACAATGTTTCTGCAAACAGAACCCTGGATGTAGCATTGGCACAATATATCCCAACGCCTTATTCTAGTTGCATAGGCCCCTATAGCACTGCGCTTTCCTAGAAAGGGTTGAGGCTAGGATTAAAAGCTTCAGTCTTCAGACTCTCTGATGCCCGCAGGATTCAGGACCCATGCTGACAGTATTTTTTCTCCAGGCAGGGGAACTCGAAGAGACGTCATGAGCTGATGAAAAGATGAGAGTGGAGAGTTCTTGCTTGCAAGTAGCAGCCGATTGGCTTTCCTTTGGAAGCTGTAACTACGGACAGAACCAGCGACGTGCAACACAGGTTCGACAATTGTAAATACTGGGAGGGCCTTTCTACGTTTTCGCCGTGTTGCCTTCCTCACGATTGTCGTCGAGCAACGGGGTAGCACTTTGGGGTTCTTGCGTTCGCTAGCTGCCGAGGTGCCGCTCGCCGCCTAGATATGTGGGGATGCACACACGGCGTTTTCGCGGCTCCTGCAGTGGTGCGGTGCATGTTTTTGTTGGAGTCGCCCCTGCTTCTCACGAAGCTGGCCAAGCTGCCGGAGACCTTAGACCTCGTGAAGACGTTCGAGCTGAGCAGTAGCAGTAGCAGGGGAGTCGGGCTTGGAGAAGCGCAAGGCATGGGCAGCAGTAGAACGTTCACCGAACCGAGGTTTGCCTTGCCTTGCCTGCCTTTCTGCAATCTGCCTGCATGACAAGAGTGCGACAACGTCTGAATATGTGCAAGTAACCAGCCGCTTTGCCCAAATTGCACAACTTCGTCGAGCTCGAAGCGAGCCTGGTGCAAGCCAGGCGGGCGCAAGCAGAAACGTTGATTAAGACTTTCCGAGAGTTGGACAGCATTGCAATGGACATGCGGTTAACCTCATCAGCGCCTTAAGTTTTGAGCAGGTTGGAATCGCTTTCAGAAATGGGAGTTTCTGAAAATAGGGGACCCTAATATAGTACCCTAAATAGTAGGATCCTTATTATAAGGACCCCAAAATAAGGTACCCCAATTTTCGGAGACTCCCAAATGGTTGGTCGAATTTTGCACTTACATCGGCCAAGCCGACGACTTCGGCTACAGCAAGCCCTAAGCCGTAAACCCTAAACCGCTGTGTAGCAGAAGATCTGCGAGACCCCTGGGCCGCTAAGTCCCACTTACCAAAGTATACTTCTCAAGCCCGTGGAACCATATGGGTAGTTGTCAAAATTAGGGTCCCTTTTTGGGGGTCCTTATTATGATACGGCACCTATGATTTAGGGTACCCCAAAAGCTACCTTAGTTTTGATAACTACCCATATGTTGAAACAGCATCTGCAAGGCTGGACGGGAAGTTCCCGGTCCTCGACGGGAGTTTCCGAAAATCAGGGGGTACCTTATTTTGGGGGTCCTCATAGTAGGGATCCTACTATTTAGGGTACTATATTAGGGTCCCCTATTTCCGGAAACTCCCACATAGGTCATAAGAGCTCAAGGGCCCATTCGGAAAGTTCTGGGACTGCTATGCTTTACCGGACAAAACCTGCTTATGACGGCACGCTTGTGTGTAGACGCAATGCATTTAGGGATGTAGGGCATACGAGTAGATGGGATCCTGATTAGCAGCATATCCGCATTTTCGGACGCCCTACCCCGGGTTCGAAGTCTTTGCCGCTCTTCCGTTTCGACTGGTGTGCGTACATAAAACTCTCAAACCTGGCTCAGCAAGTCAAACCCCCGAAGCCGTGAACTGCAGATGTAGAATGGCCTAACAAAAACAGATCTGCATTCACGTATGCGAGGTCGTGCTTTCTTCTCGAGCTTACGCCGGCACTTTCGAGGGCACAGATGGTGGGAAAAATCGTTCGAGCGATTCCCGACAGCTTTCAGCAGCACTGCCACCACGTCATCACCGTCATCGTCATCAGCATCACTCTTTCTAAGCATCAGTCTTTCTGGATCGTCCCTCATCATGAACATCATCGTCGTCATCATCATGTTCATATTGTTCATCTCCATAGTCGTTATAATCTTCATCTTCATCGTCATGACCATCATCACCATCATCATCATCAGCATCATCATAACCATCGGCATCTTGTTCATCACAATCGCCTCATTTATCATCATCTTCTTCTTCTTCACCAACCCCATCACCGCCACCATCATCATCACCATCGTTATCTTCATCATCATCATCATCATCACCATCTGCTACAGCAGCAACAACAGCAACATCTACAATTTGCAGCAACATCAACAGGCAGCCATTGTTTGGAAGCTGATTGTGTGTGGTGCGGTCCTTAGGCAGGAGGTCAGCATTCGCAGGCGAGAAGCAGCAGAGTAGGAGCAGGCCTTCAGTGTGAGCGGCCATGTGCATGGAAAGGAGGCTTAAGACCCAAGCTTCAAGCCCGGTCCATCCCAAGCACACCCCCAAACAGCCTGTTTGCTCTGGACTCCAGATTGCCCGGCTAGACACGGAGCCCGAAGCCAGCAAAGGTGCAGTTTCAGTGATTCGGCACGACATGCAGAAGTGTAAACTGAAGGCCCCAAGCTGCCGGAGACTCACCACTCCCGAAATAAAATAGCTCTTGCTGAAAAAAAAGCGGGGTCTCTTTAGAAGGAACCCTTGATACAGGGAAATTTGAAGAACGTTCTGGCCCCAGCTGCAGCGTTTTGCATCCAGCATCCCCGTCCCCGCCTCTTGGGGCAGCTGGGGCTGGCACAGGCGGGGCCCCGAAAAGTTTGGCAGCATGCTTTAGGGTTGAAAATATAGCTTATCAGACCACATAGTCTCATGGTATGATACAGCGCAACCCCCTATACTGGAATCAAGCGTAGATGAAGATCGCACAAGGCCGCCAATGCTTTGTGGGCCACGTGTGTAGTGCCACTTGTCTTGTAGAAGCCGGCAGAGGTCTTGCCAACATTGTGCTTTGGCAGTGCCTTGGGGAGTTGGTTCTTCAGGTGCTTCTTGGCTTTCCGTGTTCAGTGACATGGCTCTGCGAGCCACAGTTTTCCTGTATTGCTGGCCCTGACAGGAGTCTCGAGCTGCTCCTTGCAGACGAGGAGAAGAGGGGAATGTTACCAGGACATGGGTATCAGAATGTGTCTGGACCCAAGCTCGGCCGCATTCAGAAGAAACATTCAACTTCTACTATCCTCAATGGAGGGTGGTTCCTGCGGGAGGGTACTCGGAAACTTTATGGAACCCTTGGGAACCTTGCACTGCAGGGAAAGCTGCTTCTCCCTAGGTGTGAACGAGGCTCAAAGTACAGATGCAAACCCTGTTGAGGTGGAGCTCTGTAGTACCCATTATATTCACCCCTATCAGCGATCTTGTGTTCCAGGTGTCACTGGAAGCATTCTGTTTCATGTTGGTGATTGTATCGGTGTGGAGTTAAAGTGCCTCTCAGTAGAGTAGTTAGTTCTTTAGAAAGGGAAGCCGAGGCCATGACGGCTTTTCACATTTCGTTGTGCTTTTGCCTTCGAGCTTCTTGAGCAAGCGATGCTGTACTTCAGGCCGCCTGCCAGACCCCAGGCGGGCGCGGTGGAAGTGCAGGGAGCAGTCGACTAGAACCCATCGCAGTGAACATGCGATTCAATTCTGCAGGGCTTTACTTCTTGAACTGGTCGGGGAATCGGTTCTGAAGAAGATCGACTAGGATCCTCGTTTGAAGCTTAGCCGGTCTTCTGAGATGTCCATGCATTTTCCAGGATTCAAGTGCTACACGCAGCCCCAACGTGATCCCTGATCATTCTCTTTGCTCCGATGAGATTTATTAAAGAACCCTTTTACCTTGATTCAGTGTATTGAAGATTACGGGCACTTAAAAGAAATGAAGAAGTACTGGGGCTGACTGCTGAGACAGTGCTAGAAGTGTTACTGCAGGTACGCACTATCAGAGGTACTAACAGTTCTGCTAGCGAGGAGGTAGTATCAGAGTCCACTCACAGTGTGAAACTGTATTCGTTCTACGCGGGAGTGCTCGTAGTAGGACTTTGGGCAGGAGTAAGCAAGGGGAGTAAGTATTGGTGATAACTGCCGGTACGGTACAAGACGCTCTGAGGTGAGTTTAGGAAGGGTGTTTGGGATTTTACTAAAGGGGGCTAGCACGCGCTTTGTAGATTGAGGCTTCGTGGGACTGCGTCTAGTCTTGGAGCTTTTAGTAGTTCATGAAGCTCTCCGACAGCTTAAGGTTGAGGATTTAGGGTGCGCAACGCTTGATCCTGATTTTCAACGGCCGTCTGGTGCGTTGCTCGTGCACATGTCCTGCAGGATCCACTAAACGTGCGAGAAGTGTCGTGCGCGTGGGCACAACACCACTGCAATGAGCTTCGCAAGACTCGGGTTTGTGCCGTCGTGGAGTCATGTACGCGATGCCTTGAAACGCGTGTTGAAGCATCCGCAAGATTTGCTGAACAAGAAGAGTTGCAAAGCAAGGTCCCGTGACAGGTCGTAAGAGCTGAAGCATCCATGAGCTGCTAGGCAGTAGGGCCAGTCCCTGTCCGCCGGCTCGTCCAGGTGGCCGCATGGGATTCGCAGGGAGCGGTTGATTTAGTACCTTGAACAGGTCGGGAATTCCTTTTTGAAGAAGTTGACTCTCAGACACTGGCCATGGAGAACGTTTGGCTACGTCATGCAAGCCGTATCGGAAGGGTTCCCGTTTCGAGCGTAGGAAGCCTAGGGACCTGAGTGACCGGGCGACGGCGCTATCGTAAGAGCTTCGGCACTTGATTATCAGATGCCACTGTGCTGTCTAGGTTTCATTGGGCAGGTCAGGCAGGGGCTTCTCAGGCTGCCCACATGATCTCTGATCATCCCTGATCTTCTTGCAGTAAATACCCCCAATGTCCGGCAGGGGTAGTTGCGGTCATGGACAGTTGAAGCACATGGAGACGTACTAGGGGTGACCACCGAAAGTCCTAGAAGTCTTGCTGCTGGAGTCAATGCCAGTATCAGTGTCCAGTAGCAGGACGAAGAACTCTTAGAGGGACGTTGCGGTAGTGGCGTACTACTTGTAGGGCTTTGAACAGGAGTAAGTATTGCTGGCCACTGATAGTACTCGTAGTACGAGGTATAAGACAGTTTGAGGTGGGTTTGGGAGTGGTGTTTGGGGCTTATTGACAGGAGCTAGGACGCACTTTGTGGATTGAGGCTGCGTGGGACTACGTCTAGTCTCCGAGCTTTCAGTAGTTCATGAAGCTTGTGAAGAGCTTAGGTTGAGGATTTAGGGTGCATCAACTTTGCCCTCCCGTACAAACCGTTTGATCCAGATTTTCAGTGCTATACACAGACCGTGTGTGAAGACTTCCTGCAAGGAACCGGGTTGCCTTTTTGTGGGCTGCACGTGCACACTGACATGTTTCCACTGAACAAGTGGGCGGCGCAAGTGTCTTGTGCGTAGACACAACAACCACCGCGATGAGCTTCGCAAGACTCGGGTCTGTAACATCGTGTACTTCTGGGAAGAAGAGTTCCAAGCCAAGGGCCTGCACCCCGACCCCGATATAGGTCGTAAGAGCTGAAGCGCTCATCAGCTGTTCGCAAGGCGACACCCGTGCGAGTGGTCCAGGCGTGCGCGTCGGTTGCGCGGGGAGTGGTTGACTAGAACCTTCGGTGTTGAACAGGTCGGGAATCGCTGTTGAAGTTTGTAGACTCTTAGACACTGGCCATGGAGAACGTTTGGCTAAGTCATGCAAGCCGTAGCGGCGGAAGGTTTCCCGTATCGAGCGCAGGAAGCTTAAGGGGTCTGAGTGACCAGGGGCGTCTCTGCCCGAGTGCATGTCCCCTTTCTTTGACCCGACGTGTGATTGAGAGATCGATGTTGATCTCATAATTTATGTCTGAAAGCAGCCCTGCCTCGGTGATGGCCATGATCTCATATCTCAAACTGGCCCGATTTTGAGACCTTATGAGGCGATGGCGCTTGATCTCATATCTAAAGCTCGAATCTTGATTAGGCAGTGGCGGTTGATCCCATGTCCTAACTTGCTCCGCCCCATCAGGCGTTGGCGCTTGATCTCATATCATATTTAAACCCCACGCCTGATCATGCCATGACAGTTGATCTCGTATCTGACACCAGCCCCCTCAGCAGGGGATGGCGGATGGTCTCATATCTGAAACCTCACCCCTCATTAGGCGATGGCGGTGATCACGTATCTTGAATTGCCCCCCCCCTAGTCATGGGGCGAGGGCGCGGCTTGCCCCCTGCCACTTATGCACACCTCGCCTTTTGTGCGCCACTGTACATAAATACAAAATAAATACAAAGTAATACAAACATATAGATATATATATATATATATATATATATGGAGGCGTGTCGTGGCGTTGTTGGCTTGGCTTTCAGCAGGGTCGGGTTTCAGGGCGCGGGTGGGCGGTGGGGCGGCTTGACCCGCTCTCCCATGAACACCTCCAATTACATGTACACGTATGTGTAATCATATGTATGTGTACAAGTACAAGTGTATCTACATGTATATGGACACCTACACACAAACAGACACACGGACGGACGGACAGACAGACAGACAGACAGACACGCAGACACACAGACACACAGACACACAGACACAACACAGCAACACACGGACATTCAGACACGCAGACTCACAGACACACAGGCACAAAGACAGACAGACACGCAGACACGCATTTTCACAGACACACATATGCACAAGCATGCGCAGACCCGTACACAAACATATATTCTGGAGTTTATGTCGGCGTGGGAGCCTGCCTTTCGCCAGTAAGCAAGCTTTTGCTTATGTTTTCGTTATGCTTTAACTGACTTCCGTGTCGATGCAAAGTATGTACATGTGGCACTGCTGCATGTCATAAATATGGCGCCGCTGTTATGGTATAAGGCTGCAGGGTTAAGATGATGATTATTCCAGCCACCCTGTCCTATATTGTAACTGTCATAAAAGCTGGATGCGCCGCCCATCTTCTCGTATCGCGGTGTCCCATCGCCTCGTATGAAAGCTTTAGGATATTTTGCAGCTTTTGTGACATCGCCTCACATGTTTAGGGTAGCAATACTTTGCTTCATCACTTTCCGGTTTAGGTCTGTCGCCTATCTGAGTCAGAATTCTCAGACTTGGGGCATGAGGGTCCTCTAGCCTGGGCTGTACATGGGTCGCCCGGCATCCTCTACTATGGCTTGTTGAGTATTTAAGGAACAGGGGACCCCTGCAGGGCTTCGTCCCTCGACCTTTTTCTCATGAGTTTGGGCCCATTATTTCCTATCAGGGTCGTTGTTTTTGTTAGACTTCTTTGAATGGCAGGTGGTTAGGATTGAGGATTTGCCATCCATCATGTCCTTCGAGAGCACCGCGCTCATCTTCCATCATTCTCAGTCGGGGTTCAGGGTTTACAGCGCCCAGCAGTGTCTACGGATTCAGGTTTACCAACCATCACATCTCCAGCTACTTTTTCAATTGTAGGATATCCCGCCGTCATCTTGTTTTACGGGTTTGGGTTTTGCCATCCAACCTGGCCGAAAAGGGTTCTGTTGGTTCTGGGGATTCAATCACCTAGGGCTGCGAATCTTGGATGTGCCATCTATCAGAATCTATCATTTCTGGTCAGAGTCATCCACCGCTGCGGCTACGGCTACGGCTTTCCGATGCTGCTACTCCTACTGCCACTTCTGGAACCGCCACCCCCACCACCACCACGACCACCACGACCACCACCACCACCACCACGACCATCACCACTAACACCACCACCGCCGCGACACCGCACTGCCACTGCTACTGCTACGGCTACTATCACTACGACGCCAACCACGACTAGTACTACAGTGAACCCAGGAAGCCAAGCGCCTGCCCATATCTTGAACACCGAAGCGTGCAGGCCGGGCATCAACTGCATCGACCACCAGTTGCGGGACCACCAGTTGCGGCCTTCAAGGCAGCGGACTGTCGGGCTTACCGGCTTCAGAGTTTGGCGGTTCAGGCGGGTTTAGGGTTTCGGGCCAGGATTTGTGGCTGGCGGTTCAATTGAGGTTTAGGGCGGTGGGGAGTTCGAGACTTGGGCATTACGGTTTGGGGCTTTGGATTTAGGGATGACCACGCACCGGGAAATCTACACCCGAATCCGAATTCCTTTCCCTGCTGGAACCCTGCCCCCCCTAAACACCAAATCTTGGGTCCAGAAATCTTAACACCAGAAACCAACGTCTCATGACTTGGCAGGTCAGTGCTGCCCCCACTTCCGCTCAGACGGTGCAGGTTTGCGACTGCCCTTAGCGCAAAGAGAAGCGTTCAGAGTTTTTGGTTCCCCTTTAAACGCCAAGCCTTACTTGATGTAGGCCCACAGAAAAGGCGAGTTGTCATCAGCAATGATAAACGTTGCAGGAAGAGGCACGACAGAATATTCGTACTATTGCTACTCCTGCTCATACTTCCACTGCTACCGCCACTGCTACTGCTACTTCCGCTGCTACTACTGCTACTTCTAGTTCTTCTTCTACTACTTCTGCTACTGCTACTGCTATAGCTGCTACCTACTACCTACTACGACTGCTACTGCTACTTCCGCTACCCTGCTGCTCCTGCTGCTGCTACTGCTACTGCTCCTGCTGCTGCTCCCGCTGCTGCTGCTGCTGCTGCTGCTGCTTCTGCTCCTGTTGCTCCTGCTCCTGCTCCGGCTGGTGCTGCGGCTCCTGCTCCCGCTCCGGCGACTGCTACGGCCACTACTACCACGACGACAACGACGACTACTGCTGCAGTGAAGCCTGCAAAAAAGCGTTGATCACCGCAGCGTGCAGGCCGGTCATCAACTGCATCGACCGCCCTTTGTGGCCTTCAAGGCAGCGGACTGTTGGGCTTAATGGCTTCAGAGTTTGGTGGTTCAGGCGGGCTTGGGGTTTAGGGTCAGGATTTGTTTGCAGCTGGCGGTTGAAGGCTTTGGATTTAGGAACTACAGGGTTCGGGTTCAAGCTTTCGTTGAGGGCTGTGGGTTCCGAGTTCAACATTTTGGCATTGCGGTTTAGGGCTTTGGATAGGGATGACCGCGCGCGCCGGGAAATCTACACTCATTCCGAATTCCCTAACCCCAATCCGGAATCCCTGCCCGCTTATCCCCGAAAAAGCTTTGGGTCCTGTTCTTTGAAAACAAATTGACAGAGTCCAGAGTTTGAACACCGGAAAACTGACGTCTCAAGACTCTTGGCAGGTCGCTGCCCCCACTGCCGCTCAGACGGTGCAGGTTTCCGACTGCCCTTGGCGCACAGCCAAACGTTCGGAGCTTTTGG